ATTTTGAAGAAAACTTTGTGAACCTAACTTTCCCTGAAATCACTACTATTAATAAAGAATTTAAGTACTTCTTTAGAACCCATTTTATAGCCTTCTCAATAGTCTTACCATTCTCCATTTGACCCTCTGATTTTTCTCTTAAGATATAGGTTTTTAAATCCTTTATAATAATTTCAATAATTATTGGAAGATTGAAATTTTATTAGGAAAAAATTAGCTTGCTTCCCCAAGTGAAAATACTTGGAGTATGTAATATTGTTTAGATAGAGTATGTGTAATGTGTATTGTTAGATAGGTATCCATTCTGCTTATCAATTTATATAGATTAAAATCTGTATCTTAATCAATATTCATGTGATCTTGGATGTTTGAGGATCTTCTCATTTGATAGTATATAGCAGTATCTATATATCATCTTCCAAATATTACTGTAAAATATAACACAATATAACAAATTATATATGTAATATATAATATTTGCCACAAAGTGCTCTTTCTAAAATATATTGAGTTATTGAGTGGGGAAAACAAGATAGGACACTTGGTACTACTTTTTTTAGCAGCATTGAGTTCTTGCCCATGCAAGAACTTTTTTTTTCCTTTTCCTTTATTTTTCTTTCTTTTTTCCTCGCCGTGCCATCTTTTTCCCCCATCTTTGTTAATTTTTTTGCCTGAACTTCATTTATTTGGCATTTATTGATTGTACCATGTGAGCAGTACTAGAGTAGGCCTTAAACTATTCCTACAAAATGTCTTTGCAAAGAATTATGAATTGCCATGACACTGCCAGTTACTTCATACAGAGTGTTGCTTTCAAAAGATTTCTAATACATAGAATATACTTACAGATTATTAGATTTTATGCAAGTTTTCCAATTTGAAGCTGTTCTAAAATTGTTTAAGATCATAGTGCTTTTTCTGGCAAGTTGAAAACCAGTGTGTGATAATGATTCATATAAAAAACAAAAAAACTAAGAAACATTAAGAGGTTTTGGCAGGAGTAGAAATCTGTTTTCAATTGAAATTTCAGAATAGATGGAGAGTTAACATGCAGAGAGACACAGGGAAGCCATTCAGATGGCAGAATCAAAGCAAAGGAGATCCTTTTGCCTGATCTAAACCATGGCCAGGTCTAGAAGGCGTATGCTGGAATCACAGGCTGGATTTAGTAGAGAAAGCCAAGAGGAACAGCAAGCAAGAGAGGTTTCTGAGTCAGGTTAGAATGAATACATAGGTTAATATAAAATGAAAATAAAAGCATTATAGACTAGATCCTGAAATTTAGCTTTTGTGAATGTTCTTTGCCAAATTATTGACTACTCTGGTTGGTGCTAAAGTGGCATAATGTTTGATTTTTTTCTATTTTTACCCTCTCTGCATTTGCTCTGCTCTGGCATGCCGTGGGTTTTGCACGTGTCTAGGAACTGTTGCAGAGTTGAAAGGTCACTCTTCTAAATGTAACAAAATTCAAAACAGTAATAATATACATCAGGTAAAGTGAAGTTCTGTTTCATTTTGTCCCTGGAGCCCTGCATCCTCTAGTTTTTGTCTGGACTTGATTGCTTTCTTGAAATGCTGCACTGCTGTGGTCCTGGGGCAGCCCTCATCTTACCAGGGCTTCCTTTCTTTTCATGGATCCTCTGTGTTTCCTGGAGCCTGTGTTTTTCTCTCTCTGGGGGAGGTTTTTGAGATCCTGTATATATGAAAAGTTGATTTTCTGTCGTTACACTGATGGATAGATTGGATGGATTAGATCGGAAATCATTTCTTTATCCATTGTTTGTGACCTGCCTACTCCTCCCTCCGTCACCACCTCAGACATTTGCATGATCTTAATGTCCCTGGTGTTCTGGAATTTCAGTATTGTAAATTGGTGTGGGTCTTATTTCCTTCATTGTGTTGGGCACTTGGCTCTACTAACCTAGAAATCAAGTCCTTCAGTTCTGAGAAAAATCCTTGAATTATTTCTTAGGTAACTTGCTTCTCTCTCTTTTCTCGATCCTCTCTTTCTGGAGTTCCTTTTTGTCAGATGTTGGACCTCCTGAATTAATCCTTTAATTTCCTTATATTTTTATCTTTCGTTGTTAATTTGTTGTATTTTCTGGAACATTTCCTCAAACTTATCTTCTAATCCTTTTTCTGAAATTTTATTTCTGCTACCATGTGCTAGACTTCTGTGATTCCAGAAGAGTGCTCTCTTCTGTTCTTAATGTTCCTTTTAAAGAAATGACATTTTGTTCTTGCTTTATAGTTCTATTTACTTATTTATTTACGTAACTGTAACTTTGTACCCTTTGACCTACATTTTCCCATTTCCCTTACCCCTTACCCCTGGTAACCACCTTTTAATTCTGTTTCCATATATTTGATTTTTAAAATATATATATATTTTTTAGATTCCACATATAAGTGAGATGTTGCAGTATTTTTCTTTCTATGTCTGGCTTATTTCACTTAGCATATCCTCTAGGTTCATGATGTTGGCAGGATATCTTTTTTTTTTTTAAGGCTGAATAATATTCCATATATACAAGTGTGTGTGTGTGTGTGTGTGTGTGTGTGTGTTTTCTACAGTTGTCCCTCAGTATCTGAGGGATCCAAGGAAGATGGGTTCCAGGACCTCCTGCAGATACCAGAATCCACAGATGCTCAACTCCCTGACATAAAATGGTGTAGTATTTGCATATAACCTACACACATAGTCCTGTATACTTAATTAAAGCATAAAGATGATTTACATCTCTAGATTACTTATAATACTTAAGACAATGTAAATGCTATGTAAATAGTTGTTATACTTTATTGTTTAGGGAATAAAGACAAGAAAAAAAGTCTGTTCAGTATGGACGCATTTAAAAAAATATATTTTTAATCCTTGGTTGGTTGAGTCTACAGATTTGGAATCCCAGGGATATGGAGGGCAGACTGTATGTACTATATACAGACACACACACACACACACACACACACACACACACACACCACAATTTCTTTATCCATTCATCTGTTGATGGACACATTCATTGTTTCCATATCTTGGCTATTGTGAATAATGTTGTAATGAACATGGGTGTCCAGATATTTTTATAAGGTGGTGATTTCATTTCCTTTTGGTATATGCCCAGAAGAAGGATTGCTGGGTCATATGGCAGTTCTATTTTTAATTTCTTTCACAACCTCCATACTGTTTTTCACTGTGGTTGTGCCAATCTACATTTCCACCAACAGTGTACAAGGGTTTCCTTTTCTCTACACCCTCACCCACACTTATCTCTTGTCTTTTTGACAAAAGCCTTCCTGTTAGGTGTGAGGTGATATTGTGGTTTTGATTTGTATTTCCCTGATGCTTAGTGATGTAGAGCACCTTTTCACGTAACTGTTGGCAGTTTTTATGTCTTGGAGAAATGTTTTTTCAGGTCCTTTGCCTATTCTTAAATCAGATTATTCTTTTTTTGCTATTGAGTTGTCTGAGTTCCTTATAAACTTTGGTTATTAAACCCTTATCAGATACACAGTTCACAAATATTTTCTCTCACTCTGTAAGCTGCCTTTTCATTTTGTGGGTTGTTTCCTTTGCTGTGCGGACACTTTTTAGATTGATGCAGTCCCATTTGTTTACTCTTCCTTTTGTTGCCTGTGCTTTTGGTGTCCTATACAAAAAAAATCAAGACGAATGTCAAAGAGCTTTTTCCTTATTGTTTTCTTCTGTGAGTTTTATGGTTCCAGATCTTATGTTTAGGTCTTTAATCCATTTCAAGTTGATTTTTGTGTATGGTATAAAATAAAGGTTCAATTTTATTCCTTTACATGTGGATATCCAGTTTTTCCAGTACTATTTATTGAAGAGACTGCCCTCTCCCCACTATGCTTTATAGTTTTAATAGCTTTTCTTATTTTTCTCAGTATATTAATTATACTGAGTACACTTTTATTTTTGAAGTTTCCTTTTGCTCTCTGCATAGTTCTCTGTGTCCTCTGAGTCTGCCATGCCTCTCCACCCCCACCCGCCACCTGTATATTTATTTGCTCTAGTCTCTGACTTTCACCTTGGAAGGTTTTTTTTTTTCAAATTTCTATCAGTTTTTGGCTGTCAATTGATTTTAGTTTTTCAGGTACTAACAAGCTGATTGAAAGCTCCATCTTAAGAAATTTGTTGCGGTTTGCTTTACTGTTAAGATGTTCTGGTAGGGATCCAGGCCTTTCTTTGGGAGAAGCCCACACATAAATAAATACCTTTGGGACATTTTTTCTGGAGATCATTCAGTTTCTTTGGGAAAATTCTTCTGATCTCTGCGTCTGGTTGCCATTGTTTAGGGAGCCCATCTGGAAGAAAAGGGGAAGATTAATGTGGTGCAGAGGATGTAAATTCCAGCTGTATGACTTTGGAGCCCTTGCTCTGGGCTACTATGCTTGTTGTCTCCTGTACTGAATCCTAAGTGGGGCTTCATAGCTCTTTTCTCCCCCCAAGTTTTTTGTTTGTTTGTTTTTGGTAAAATAAGATTTATCATCTTAACCATTTTTAAGAATACAGTTCACTGGTATTAAATACATTCGTAATGTTGTGCAGCCATCACAACCATCTGTCTCTAGAATTCTTTCATCTTGTAAAACTGAAACTCTATACCCATTAAACAATAACTCCTCATTCCCCCTTCCCTTCCGCCCCTGGCAACGACTGTTTCTACTTTCTGTCTCTATGATTTTTTGACTACTCTAAATACCTCATGTAAGTGGGATCACAGTATTTGTCTTTTTGTGTCTGGCTTATTTTATCTAACATAATGTCCTTAAATTCACTCCTCTTGTAGCTTATGTCAGAATTTCCTTCCTTTTAAGACTTAGTAATATTCCAGAGTCACAGCCTTTTACATCAACTTTTTTCTTATTGTGTATAATAGCCCCTCTTAGTCCTGTATATAGCATAGTTAGGAATGTTATGTATATGATTATGTTTAATTATTTTCATGGTAGAGATTTTTTAATTTGTTCTTAATTTGCAGCTTTTTTCAAGGAGCAAACCTCCAAGGGGCCTGTATGTTTATGGAGATGTTGGTAAGTGTGTTAAAAAAGTTTTGGGTGGGCCAGACAGAAAGTTTCCCAGCTTTTGCTCAGGGATAACTTTCATTTACATCCCTTAATCCACTACCAACAAAGGAATAGGATGAGGCAGGGTAAAGTAGGGGGAGAAGAAAGGAGAAAGGAAGGCAATTATCTCAGCTTTCACTTCTCGTAGGATGGGGCTGTCCTGTAAGGCAGGATTAGTTACTTTGTTAGGGTGCAAACATTATATATATGTATACTGTATAATGTATAAAGTGAGTTAATTTCAGGGAAGGAAATCGTGTAGATAGGTTACTAAATAAATCAGGATCTTATTACTCAGTGCTATTTGACTCAGCTTAATACTTTTCGGCGGGAGCACCGCCGCGCTCCCAAGCGGCGCACTGCAGCAGTGCGCCACCGGGCCGGCCAATGTATACTTCTTATGTAGAAAGCAGTTTATACCAGATACTTGATCAATTTTATGTGCCTGCATCCTTGGGTACGGCTAGCAGATCTCTCATCCTGTTAGCTCTCATTCTTTGCCTCCTGAGAACATTTACTTCCAGTACCTTCACTTTCATTTTCAGTCATTGCTAAAATCAGCAGCTCTGTTTCCCCTCTTACCTTAACCATTTAACCATAAATGGAAATGGTTAGTAAAACACAACTGCTTGCACTTCTGTGCCTCCTGAGAACATTTACTTCCAGTACCTTCACTTTCATTTTCAGTCATTGCTAAAATCAACAGCTCTGTTTCCCCTCTTACCTTAACCATTTAACCATAAATGGAAATGGTTAGTAAAACACAACTGCTTGCACTTCTGCAAAAGGACTTAAAAAAAAAAAAAAACTCCTATGAAAGTTGTCAGATTTTAGTTTGAAAAATACGCCAAATTCTAACTAATTGAAGAGAGGTACAATGTAAGTTATTCATGTGAATGCTTGAAAGAATTAGAAAAGATGTGATAACATAGGATGTTAACATAGCCTAAGTGTGTGGCAACCTTTGATTAGAAACATCTTTATAAAATAGAGAGGGGAAGCAAAAGGTATTCTGAAATAGGAAGTGAGATGAACGTTTTGGTGGTTATCATCAGTTTAGTTCAGAATACTTACAAAATAGGTAATAAAAGATGAGTTCTCATTTTGGAGGGCTCTCGCTGGGAGGATAGCCTCAGTATGCCATCACAAGCTCTTATTCTTTACTATGCTCCTTTTTTAGACTTGGGAAACAGGTATTAAATTTTAAGGAGATTTGCTGGGAAAAGAGGATATCTGCTGCATAGTACCTTCTTTCACTCCTCATTCCTGCACTCTGGGCTCTGTCATGCCCACTTCACTCAACTCTCTTCTTCATATATGTTTTGAGATGATTGACTCAGATGGACTCTAAATCCAGGGACTGCAGGGATTAACATCATGGTTCAATCTTTTTTTTTTTTTTTTGGTGGCTGGCCAGTACAGGGATCGAACCCAGGACCTTGGTGTTATCAGCATCATGCTCTAATCACCTGAGCTAACCGGCCAGCCTTTGGTTCAATCTTGAAATGAAATATTTTCATTAATAAAATGTTTAGCACATCTCATGTAGAAGCCAAAAGCTGCATAGTAGTATTTTGAGGCTTCATTCTTACCCTACAGCTAGCTTTCTTGAAACAAGGCTTCAGCTCTTGACTAGCAGACTGCAGCAGTGATGGCAGGGCTAATGATTTCTCAGGTACACTGGAAGAGAATAAAAATACATTTTGTTTATCTGTCCCATTTCTAGTGCCACCTGGTTTAACCTCGCCTGTTTCACATTGACACTGGGCTCTAATTTCACCAGTTGGAAGATAGGCTGGTTTTAAGTTTAGGAGTTGGGAAACATACTTCTTCTTCCAGGCTTGGTTGCAGGGAGGGAGGGACACCCCTTCCAGCTTCTTCTGCAGGGGGACAGCTATGAAAAGGGTGCTTTTGCGTAGAAATGTTTGGCTTCCTAAATATTGGCTTGAAGAGTAGAATTTAGCATTTGGGGGTGCTCTTGCGTAGAAATTTTGGCTTCCTAAATATTGGCTTGAAGAGTAGAATTTAGCATTTTAGGTTTTACAAGTTAATCTCCTGGTAAGAATCCTCTCTTGAGCAAATATAAGTTTTTTTTTTTAAATGATTCTATAGAGACCAAAGCAAAATTGTGAAGTAGGTAAAATTTAGTGTTAGTTTCTTCCTTACCTTTTCTCAACATCTTCTGTCCTCATTCTTCCATTTATTTGACAAGTTTATTGAGCATCTGCCTTTGCCAGGCAGTGTGTTGTTTCTAGAGATGTAATAGTTAATAAAAGCAGAAGTAGCCTTTGCTCACTCAAAGCTTACAAAATGGTGCAATGGCTTTGAAACATTTTTAAATATGACCCATCATAAAGAATATATTTCATATACTGACCTCATATATGCGTGTGAGCACACACGTGCTCACCTGAAAAATATTTCATTAAAGAATACTTAACCTTACACATGGTGCTTTTTGATATGTTCTATTCTATTCTATTCTATTCTATTTCATGACAAAGTAATTCTGGTTGTGTTACTGAATTAGGCTGTTGGGTCCCAAAGTCTTAGAAATGAACAATGCACCCAGGAATAAAGCAATAATATAGCCTATCTCCTCTTTTAATAAAGCAAGCAATGCTCTAACAATAATAAATAATAAAGCAATGCTTTATTAAAAGAGGAGATAGACTTATGCATAAGGAGGGTAGCTTCAGGAAAGCTAGCACCCTGAGGGGAACTGTTCAGAGTCCTTTATAGGGAAAGGGGTTAAGGGGTGCAGGCTAGTGTCATCACTCTGTGTCTCTGGAGGTGGTCCATTCTATTCTTCCTGGTCGCATTGTGGGTGCATGCTCAGTTGGGGTTTCAGTCCTTGTGTCTGCTCAGTAGGTCCAAGGTGATGGTAGTGTTCATTATCATCACCCCAGGAGGGTCATTGTAGTGGTCACCTTGAAGCTTTGTGCGATTGTGGGAATTCCTAAAGGGGTCTTAAGGGTAATCTGTAACTTAATTTTTACAAGGGGAGACAAACCTTGGGTAAGGGTTTTGCAACTCAGTGAATATCTGTTTCCCTCTTATCTCAATTTATTTTATCAGGGCAGACCATGGGGTAATCATGCGCCCTGGGGGGTCTCATGACTGTAGAGTGGAAAAGTAACAAAGTATCCTCTGCAGGGAGAATGTAGTCAGTTTGGTTCACAGGCCTAGCCCTATTCTGTCTCATTTGTAGTGGCAGTTTGAAAAGCGCTGGTCTAACGGCTCTAGTATACATCACTTCATGTTGGCTTGCTGGGTTTGTTCCTGCTGTTGCCCCTGTAGGAATGGCTCTCTCACTGTACCATCCCTAAGCTTTTTTTCTCTACCACTTAAACTAAACTGGTTGGACTTGATTATCCAAGTCCTACCTTCTAGCTAAATGTCTAAACTATTTTAATGTAAACTATTCAAACTACTTGCTAAATTTTAACAGATAGCATTGGATTAATAGGTTACCTCTCCAGATCACTTGCATTTAAAAAGAGTCTTCTAAGAGATTTTTTACTGAAAACTTTGGTGTAGAAGATAGAACTTTAGTGACCTAGCTAGCCACTTGGTGATTTGGGGCAGGGAAATTATTTGGCATCTCTGAACTTCCTCCATACCAGGCTCCTTCCTACCATATTAAATCTAAAGGTGCATATCATAGCCACATTGACAGAATTTTACATTTAGAAAGATCTTTGTTGCCTGTTATTTTTCTATTTTTTTTATAATGAACTGAACATTCTCCTCTGATACTCACCCTAAGTACGTTTGGTGCTGAGGAAAGTAAAAAATTGATAATTACTTGGGTATATCTACTAGTCTCCATTAGAAGTAGAGAAAATGCAGATGTTGATAGGCGTTAAGAGAAAGAATGAATAGAAAGTAAGTAAAAATTTAAGTATAACCTCTTGAAAGAAAGTGAGTCAAGATGCCGGGTACCATTCAAGCTTTATTAAAGAAAGAAATCTGCTGGGCTGTGCTCAGAGGGGCACAGGGCCCAGGGCTGCCCTGAAAATGGTGGACAGTCCCAACAATGGGTTTGCGAGAGTTTATATTAGCTTTTGGGTGCAAAATGTACGGGGGGAGGGACCATTAGGTTGATGTAACTGGGTGGAGAACTGCACCGGATGCAGAAGGCGGAAACTTGTTTCTAAGTCAGGAGGCTTCTTGTAAAAGGAAGCGAGAGGGGAGGAGAGGAGGTGGGTGGAGCTATTTTGTACTTGGCCCTGCACCGATGCAGAAGCCGGAAACTTGTTTCTAAGTCAGGAGGCTTCTTGTAAAGGGAAGCGAGAGGGGAGGAGAGGAGGTGGGTGGAGCTATTTTGTACTTGGGCTTGTCTAAAGTGTTGCTAGTTATGTTGCAGATCTATTATTCCTGCCTTTTAAGTATAGGAAAAAGGGGAAAAGGGCGGAGGTCTCATTCTTCTGAAGCTACTTCCTGCTGGAGATGGGCAAAGATATGGAAAAAATAAAAGATTTAGGTGGCGGGGTACTGGTTTCATGTGGGGAGGCTGTATTCCTCCGAGAAAGGGTTGCTGATTCTGAGGGGCTGATATCCTCCTCGCAGGGACAATTCGGTGACCTTTTCCTGCAAGAAATTAGAGAAACACCAAAAGAGACAGGGGCCAGAAAGTAGGATAAGGCACAGTTAGGGGACCTAGTAGGGGCATAAGCCAGGGTATCCAAGGGTTCGGTGAAATGGTTTAAGTTGTTTTGGATCACCCCGGACTCATTTATGTAATAACAGTATTCCTCCCCCAAGAAGAGGCAGGTATCTTCCTTCTCGGCTGTAAGGAAGTAAAGGGCCCAATGGTTCTGTAAAGCGACTGTCCACTGTTGCGAGTGAGGTGACCTATCACTGGAGCGGGGAGGTGCTATCCATACTTAGTTCTTCTGAGAGTTTTTGATAGAATAGAGAGTCAGTTGCTATGCCAGTTCCAGTTGCAGGAAGGATCCCTGCCC